ACTGCCAACTTTTCAGTATTCAAACAAAGCTTAGGTGGCTTCTTTTATTCAATGTTTCTGCTTATCTTCATATCAAATCCATCCATGAATTCTATTGGTACAGTGTTTATAAGATTTCTGAAATGTATCTGCTCCTCTCCATTTCCACTGGCCACATCCCACTCCAAGCTGTTGTCATCTTCCATTGGGGCCACTACTGCACTGGCGTGATAACTGAACTCCCTCTTTCTCCTCTCACTCATGTTCAGGGTTAGGGTACCTCTGCTTCATAATATATAACATCAAAACTTCACTGGCATTGGAAGGTAAGCAATAATGTCATGTGTATCTTCAAGGTAGTTGGGAAGCACTTCTACAGATCTATAATAGTTCTATTCTGACTGTCTCACCCTGAGGTCACCACCTTGTCTACTGTTTGCCTAGTGTTTCTAGATCAGGGACTAGAATGTAACAGACTCAATGAATGGGAAAATTAATTAACAAATGGACAAACAACCCCTGATTCATTCTGTGCACTATCACACTGGTTTACGGAGGCTTCTCACTTCTTCCCTTCCCAGGCTGCTTTAAAGGCCCTCAGAAGAAGATACCGTGTCCTCACTACTTGTAATGATTTGATTCATACAAGACTCCTGCATAACAAAAGTTGACATTTACAAAAATAGTGAGTTTGGGTCCTGGCCATCACCTCTGCATTATTGTGCTGAGTCAGGGGAGGCAAGCCTATGACACAGACACATGCCACAGCAGACTGCTGGTTATCACTGAAAACTCTGAAAGAGTCGCCAGCACTGTTCTAAATTAACTAGACAAGAGCATCTCTAGCCTCATCTATGCTGGGCCTCCTGCATTCTTCCTCTGCACTAATACTTCACCAGGGATCTCTTCTTTTCTTTAGGACTATTTAAAGTCTGGGGAAATGGCACAGACAGTTGCTCTAGGAACACACTGGCGGATCTTTCCTGCATCATTTCCAGTCCCTACTTGAGTCTCGGTGAATTCTGTTCATTCCACAAATATCTTTTAATGCCTATTACATGTCACTTATATGTTAAGTACTCAGCATTAGATGATTCAGACATAAGGTCCTATTATGAAATTGTAGCCTAGAGAAAAAAAAGCAACAGACGAAAGAAAGAATCCAGGGCATTTAAGAACAGATTTCTAGGGCTCCGATGTTTTTGCTGTTCTGATGATGAAGTCGAATTACTTAGGTTCAAGGGAACGTTCCCAGCAAAGGAACTTCAAAACGGAAACTGTAGCTCAAGCACAGAGATAAGAAAAAGTGATGGTAAAAATCACCATTTCTGTTAATTATCCCTGTGGTGGATATGATTAGTTTAGCCATGTAAAATGGGGAAAGTCATTACCATTTCCATCCAAATGCTTAGGAATGTTGGCAAGACAATAATAATATGAACACAGTCCTATGAATCTTCGAAAAAAGGAGCCGTGAGCATTTACACTGCTATTAATCTCATTATTCATTTTAGAATCCAAGCCAAAGCATCACTGTAAGCCCTTGGGCAAAGCTGGTTTACCTCCAGTCTTTTTCTCTCTCTGTCTCCCTCTCCCTCTCCCTCTCCCTCCCTCTCTCTGTCTCTGTCTCTCTGTTTCTGTCTCTCTCTGTCTCTTTCTGTCTCTGTCTCTCTGTCTCTCTCTCTTCTCTCTCTCTTGTCTGTCTGTCTGTCTGCCTCTCTCTCTTTCTCTCTCTCTCTCTCTCTGTCTCTCTTGATGCCCTCAAGGTCAGTATTCAGCTTTGCTAGAGCACATTTGGCTGGTGAGCAGGCTTGTTGAGCTACAGGTCATTAGAAAGAGAATATTCTTCCTGTTCTAATCATGGTGTCTGTCTGATCTTGTGAAGTTTTTTTAAAAAATTTTTGTTTTGGTCCTCTATATGGTTAGCATCAGTGTTGTACTTGAGTTTCTTGCTGTTGCAGGGTGTGCTCTTTACACCCCTTAGATGTCCAAGTGCAAGTCAGCATGGAGGGGCTTCCCAGGCTACTTGTGGGAGCCATTACCTGAACTTTGAAGACTTGAGACTCAGATAAAATATGGCTAATTGGACAAATGATCTTCAGTGGCAAACTTACCTGATTTTTCAATGTCTGTTACACCTTCTGGCTTCAAACACCATCCAGCTCCATCTTGCTGATCACTATGGGAAGAGTCTAGTTGAATTCAGCATGGTGATGAAAAGTGACTGCCCATGTACACACCCACTGGGTACCTGAAAGAATCAGAGTAGGTGTTTACAAGAGTTTAATGAAGAGAGTCGGATTTTTACTCCATCTTTGACTCCTAATTTTTTCAAATGTTCACTTCATTATTACATCTAGCAGGGAGTCTCTGTTGTTGACTGTGTTAATTATCTTGGTACTTTTATTGAGGTGTCCTCCCTGTGAGTGAACTGTATCAACACAACAGGAGCATCACTTCACCTTGTCACATTGTCTAAGCTCTCTAACAGATTGCCCAGCGTCACTAAAATTTCCTTGGCTTCTGTCTTTCAGAAATAGTTTATTCTTTCCACCATACCACTATTGTGATAGTTTTACTCTTACAACATATCCTGAGGATTCTTTTCTTACTGGTTCTGATTTAATACAAACTACTTCTTGCTGATATCGTACATTGGATGACACTTGAAGACAAAGTTTTTTCCAAAAATGTGACTCTTCTTGAAGTATTGAGCTATGAAACAGTGAATGCGTACTAATGAGCTATTTTTTGAGACAAGTTCTTGTAGTGTAGTTCAGACTGGCCTTGAGCTCACAATGTAGCCCTGGCTGGCCTTGAACTCACAGAGATCCTCTTGCCTCAGTCTCCAAGAGCTGAGTCTGATGACCTATTGAAATTCAGTTTAATAAAAACTTTTCTGGGCCAAGTTGCATAACTCCAGAACATACAGTGATACGTGTTTATGGTCTTAAATGTAAGCTGAAGTACAGAAGGTTGGGTGGTAAACAGGATGTCGGCAAGCCAAGTTCTTAAGACATGACAGCTAAGACCACCTCTTCAGGTCTGGGAGAAACATCAGGTATATTCAAGTATGAGTTCACAAGAAAGATGAGCCTAGGTTAATTTCAAGCAAGCTCAGCTCCTGCATTCAGCTGGACATGGTGGGAGGAATCTCATCATGTGAATTAGACTAACACATTCCCTCCAAAAATGAAAGTCGTGAATATCTCAGCAGGACCAGTGAGACCAGTGGGAGGGAGAAGTGTGTCTATTCACACAGGGATTTGCTAAAAAGCTGGGCAAAAAGTCAAGTTTGGGGGATTCCCATTCTCATATTCTAATCACAACATTTCTAAGTTGATTCTTGAACATTTTTATTAACCAGAATTTAAACATGTAGGGTGTTTGTAAAATGCATTTGCAAGTTATTTGATACTCCTCCCTCCAAAAAGATGGAGCCTAACAATTCTCCCTCTAAGTACAGGCTAGACTTAGTGAATCACTTCTAAAGAGTAGTGCGTGGAAGAATAGTTAGTAATGGGATTCCAGGTTATTAAAGGCATCACAGTCTCTGCCTTACTCTCTTCTGGATTCCTTGCTTTGTGGAAAGCCAGCTGCCATGATGGGAGAATATTCAAGCAGCCCTACAAAAAGGTCAGTCTGGTACGGAACCATGGCCTGCATCCAACCTTCAGCAAGCAGCTGAGGCCTCTACCAGCAGCCATGCAAGTGAACTGGGAACCTGACACTACAGGCCCAGATAAGCCTTCAGAAGACTACAACCCAGGCCAGCCCTGTGACTGTGGTCAAAGGGGAGATCCCAAGACAAGACCACCGAGTCTGGTCTCCCAAATTCCTCATCTACAGAAACTGTGAGATAATAAATACTTACAGGTTTAGCCAGCTAAGATTTGAGGTACTTTTTACACAGGATAAATAATAAAACAGCTTATCACAATGCACACTCAGTCCTTCAAGAAATGCCTTATTTCTTCAGGCTTCATTTAATATACAATATCAAAAAGTCTTTCCTGTGAGACTTGTCTCAGGGATCAAATTCTCAGACAAAAATTGGAATTTTACTCAAGAAAAAAACATATTTTATGAAGTTTGAGTATGCTATGGAACTGCTTTGGAATGTAAGTGTTGGATCTGAGAAGCAATGGCTTCTCTCTGTAAGTGTTTCCACTACTTAATCACAGCGTCAGGAAATCACAGCCCTGTCTTAGCTGTCTGATTCATCCCACGAGAGTACAGGATACAGTTCCCCAATTTTTATGTTCCCTCAGAGCTACTGTAGGAATAACCAATAGAACTTTACCCACGAGACTCCTCATCTGGATGAAAGATTTCAGAAATGAGTTTAGTCCATATGCACGGCTCTGGTGGTTCTAGAGCAGTGATGGTGAACCGATGGCATGTACCAATCAGCAGAGCTCTCTCTGTTGGTACAGACACCAAGTGTAGGAATGATTTTCCTAAACTAAAACCTCAGTGCTCAGCTTTAACTGCAGTGTTGGCATTCTGTAATATGTCAGTGGATTTTGGGTTGCAGTTGGGGTACTCAGTCTGTGATAGGTTCACATCACTGTTCTAGGGGATTTATTAGACCCAGTGACAGTCACTGAATCCCACGCTAGCATGGTGTTTCCCAGGTGTTAGCCAAGTACATCAACCTAATCTATCACATTATTTCTTTTCAAGAGAGAAAGCAAATTAGTACCTCCTTGTTGCATTGATAAAGATAAAGTTCTTACATTCTCTAAGCCACCTGTGCATGAATCAGTCATCCATAGCAGACTCAGTAGCATATTATCCACCAGAAGCCTGAGAGGAAGAGTAAAACTCTATTCCATAATATTTTACCGTATAATAAACAGATGCTGGTTTAATTCGTCAGAGATCACCTTTCTTCCATTGGTATTTCCTCATAACCCTTAAGCACAGGCAACTCTTCTGCCCACTCATCAATGGGAGTGACTTCTTGGGTCATCCTTTCCAGTGAGAAGGAAACAGTGTCTCTTTCCTCCTCTCCTCAGGTGAGAGTGTGGAAGAAAATGCTAGTGTTGTGGTCAAGCTGCTCATCAGACGCCCCGAGTGCTTTGGCCCCGCCCTGCGGGGTGAAGGAGGAAATGGCCTGTTGGCAGCCATGCAAGGAGCCATCAAGATCTCGGAGAACCCAGCTCTCGACCTCCCTTCTCAGGGATATAAGAGAGCAGTGTAAGTGCAAGGAGTTGCCTTCTAGGATGGATGTACTTGGTGAGTTTCTGGATAGTGTCAGTATGTGGCTGGTAAGGAGGTATCAATAACTTCCCCCAGTAGTAAAAGCATAGAATTTTTATGGTTATTAAATATTTAAAATCACTTTGCCAAGCACAGTAGTGTCTTTGCTCTTCAGGAAATCTGAGTGACAGTGTCTTTGCCTTCTTCATTCCCTTGCTCCACTCAGCCCGGGTACCAGGGTACAGGGCACTGAACCCTCTTGGCCTCTATGGCAGTTTCCCAAGGCATCGCCACTCTGTATCTCTGGAGGAGGCCATCTGGAGGCTAAAAGACCAGAGCAAGGGTACAGTCCTTGTCATCTCCAGATCATTAATCTGTAGTGTCTCATCCTGCACCTCACTTTTAAAACAAGTAATGTTCTCCACTTTCTCTTCTAAAAGTTCTCAGGAAAATGTTGGGGTTTGATTCCTTAATAGAGAAAAAAAGAATTGTGGATTCCAAAAAGTCATGGCTTTAATAATCTTGGTATTTAAAAGTTAGAGACATAGTTTGTAGATGATCTGACTGTCTTGTTACCTGCGTGCCCCCTTGTCACACCTTGTGATTAGTACCCTTTATCCCGTCCTCTAGATTAGAATCTACAGAATGTGAACTACCCAGAACAGGTAGCTTTGAAGGCTATTGGCTTTTTCTTTGTCTTCAGTTATGGTAGGCGACTCAATAGACCCAAAGCGTACACTGTTCCAACTTCCTCACGTAACATGAGAAAAAACTGAGACCCATGGTTACAGCCTATTGGCAGCACAGCCGGGCACAGACGTAGCCCTCTCAACTCCTTGCCCACTGTGGTTTCCACACAGACTCAGAGAGGGAAGACAGTAAGAAGTGTCCACACTCATGCATTACAGTTCATAGGATTCTGGAGATGTCAAAACAAATACTTGAATCCTTTGAGTTTGATGAATAAAACCACCTCATTGCCTGCTGAAAGGAGAGATTCCCAGGAAATGCTGGTGTGATGCTCAAGGAGAACAGTGTTTCTATCTTGAGCCCCAGTTCTCTAATAACATGGCGAGCCTGCTAATCTCACACCTGCTTGTGTTCATTCTCTCTCTGCAGCACAGAAGACCGTGAAGAGGAAGAAGAGATTGTGTATATGGGCAACGCAATTATGTCGTTTTATTCTGCCCTGATAGATCTCCTGGGCCGCTGTGCTCCTGAAATGCATGTAAGTGATAGAGTTCCCAGAGGGCATCTTTTGAGAAACCTGAGCCAAGAAACACTGTCAGTGTCCTGAACACAGTTTTCTTCCTCTGTGCCTGGCGTTTGCTAGCATGCCTTTCTCTTGGTTATATAACATCGAAGCATAATACCCAGTGGGGCAGCTTTCCAAGGAAGGACTTCTGCTGGGGTGATTATACGTGGGGTTTCTCTGTGGCATTAGTTAGTATTAGTTGGACATACACTCGACACACTTAATTTCCATCACTTCCCAAGATTATGTTTTATGTCCTTCAGTTGGGTCACAATGTGACCAATTTGCATCTCATTCGAGGCCATCCTGAGTGACCTCATAGACTCCACGAGCATCATGAGGATACTCTAATGTGGAAAATCCCCTTGTCTTGATGACTGTGGTGTTCAGATCCAAGAAAGCAGCCTCTCACCAGGTTCATGTCTAATCAGTTTCCTGAAAAATGAAGTTTTCATAGATGCACAGGAATGACTGATCCTGTTTCATGGGGCACCATCTCGGGCTTCCAGTTTTGCCTAAAAAGTGTGTTCATTCCCTCTCATTTTCATCCCTGCTGAGGGCTTAGAAGTTGCCTTGTTTTGTATAAAGCCTTGTATCATAAGTGAGAGAGGAAATAATTGCTGTTCATGTGCAAAGAAAATCTAAATCTTAGGAAAGGGGGCTGCATGGAATTCTTAGGATTCTGTTTCTTAGGGTAGTAAACCAGCCCGTCCCCTTGGACCTGGCTTTCCACTCCAGTGTCTCCTAGAAACAGTCAGGGAAGCAGCAGGGTGAGCAGCAGGCTTGGGAGAAGTAGAGTCAGAGACCACCATGTGTTCCTACTGCAGTTCTGATCAGCTCTCTGCACTTCCTGGCTTATTCTCAGAAAGGCAATGTGGGATGGCTAAGTCACAGGGTTCACAAGGGAAGGGGCTCCTGCCTGCTTGCCACTCTGTCCCCGACACTTTACATGCACACACACATGCACACACAAACTCATGCACTCTCACGCCTCTCTGTGACCCCTACTGTGTCAGCAGTAGGAGAGAAAGGAAGATGCCGTCCTCACTGACAGCTGCCCATGCACTCACAGAAAAAGGAGGTGCAGCCAGTGTGGACACATAGGGTTCTCCTTTCTCTGGTGCCTCCCAGCACCATAGTCCAGGACGTCACCAGTCCACGTGGCATAGACTGAATCCCTGGCAGCTCAGACCCAGCAGAGGGCCCCCATCTGCACTGCAGAGAGCACACCTGTGGGAAGATGTGGTGCACCACGTACATGCTGCTCGGCACATGAGGGTCTGCACAGACCCGGTTATTCGCCCCAGGGTGCCTCCACCTACAGGCTCAGGTTCTGCCTCATTCTTGACACCCCTGTTGCCAGCCAGCATTTGTCAAATTCTCAGGAAACTGAAAATCCTAAGCCATTTCTACATTTACTAGAATTCTGGAATCTGGCACTGTGGTCACATTGTCAACACTTTTGTCACCACAACCATGAGCACTCCCAGTGGTGCAGTCACACTGAGAAAGAAAACCATCCACAGGCAGTGTATTTTCTGCTTGGTCCTTTAACTGATGGCTGTTTCAACCACAGCAATGAAATGAAACAGCCCCTCCACAGTTATTCCCTCAGTAAAGACCTTCTGGAAAACAAAGAGAAAGCTTCTGTCTTTCTCTGGGCACAGGTGTCTCTGGCAGCTAGAGGAATACAGAGGTGGACCTCTGCCCTGAAAGAGCACCACTTTCTTGCCAGAGGATTGGAGATGGGGTGGAGTGGAGGTGTAGGACATCATCTATCTAATCCCTTTCTGCAATCCTGCATTACAGCTTATCCAGACGGGAAAAGGGGAAGCCATCCGCATCCGGTCCATCTTGCGCTCCCTGGTCCCCACGGAGGACCTGGTTGGGATCATCAGCATCCCACTGAAACTGCCCTGCCTCAATAAAGGTAGGAAAGCTCCCTCAGACCCCCCAAGATGGCACCCCTGAGTGCCCACTTGTAGGGCAGGCTGCCCAGGGAAAATCTTTCTCTTTCTCCAATGATGAGTAGCTTTCTCCTCTATATTCTAGCCGGCTTCCCTCTCATCTGTATCATACCTGTGCCAGAATGACTAAACAGGGACACGTGCCTTCTCCATCTAACCCTGTGCAGCAGTGGACAGAATGGGGAAAATGAAACATCTCACTGTGGTCTTTCTTCTTCTTTTGCCTCTGCCGGTATCATGGTAGTGGCAGCTTGGGTAACAGTCAGGCAGACTGTATCTGCCACAGTCCAAAACCTCGCAGCTGAGGTTCATGGAAGGTACATGTGACATTTGACAGTCATCTTTGAAAAACTCTCCCCAAAGTACAGTATTGTTTCTCCAAGTTATTCTACCTGCTCTCTGGGCAGATGGAAGAATTAGAAAGATGGAGTGACTCTGTCTGTTGCAGTGTTTCCCCCAACTGATATTCAATGAAATATTTTTGTACATTTATTAATAAGAGGTTTGGGGTCAAATAGGTTTGGGGATGCACTGCATTTTTATAACCTCATAAAGCATAGTAAAATTATAATTTCCTCGAGAAAACTAGTAATAACCTAAAAAGATGTTGAACTCAATATTTTCTGAATATTTGATGGATTTTTTAAGCACAAAACACTCATGCATCTCCCACAAAAATATGTTCCTTGGTGTTCCAAACTCCAAGCGAGGTTGAGCGATCACATCAGCCTCCACCACTCAGCTCTAGTGCCCTCTCGTGGTTAGTGAGGGAGATGCCAGCTGCTGTTCCTTTCATCCCTGCCATGCTTTATAAGGTCCCACACCTTTCTAGTTACAGTATTTACATATTATATCACTGCACTTGGTCATTTGAGGGCTCTCTTTTCTAAATTTTTAGAGCAAACAAAACGGGAGGGAGAAGATTTTAAACGCTCTTTCAAAATCCTTTTTTCTCCAAACTGTTCTTATTTTCTCCATGGGATTCCCCACTTCGTGCTGGCATGGTCGTGCATGCCGGGAATCCCAGCACTGGGGCAACTGAGACAGGAAGAGCACCATGAATTCAAGTCCAGCCTGGGCCACATAAGCAAGTTCAAGGCCAGCTTGCACTATGTAGCAAAACTCTTGTTTCAAAAAAGAAAAAAAAACTTCATTTTGAACCTGTTTATTAAAATAAGTTTAGAATTTTTGCATGGTCTGATAACAGCAGTAGCAAACTTTTTAGCGCTTTTAGTGATGCAAACAGCCCACTGTGGAACATAGGACTCCCCAGTGCTGATCTAATGTAAGCACCTCCTAAATCAGATCATTGCTTCCAAACACAGCAAGTGTTTTTTATGCTCTTTATGATGTATTGGTTTCAGAAGGCAGGAATAATATTCAATGCAAGCCTTCTTCTTTAATATCTTACCACTTACTTCTGTCTTCCGTTAACAAAGTAATAAATCCAGCCTGAATTCTCAGCACTTGCCTGTTTCTGTGATGTAAATATTTTCATCATGGCCGAAGCTACCAATGTTACACCACTGAACGTGGAGTTGAAATGAGACTGTGTATAGCACAGCATCACAGTGTGTTCTTACATAGAAATGCAGTGGAGAGAACCTCAATAGAGTGTACAGAAAGTGTCGTAGGAAGTGATGAGTGATAAGTATTTGTCACCTTTTTAAGTGTAACTCATTCAAATTGTGAAGTTAAATTTTTGAATAAGGGATACATTTAATAACTGACTGACAGCATTCCTGGAATTTTGGCAGTTGGCTCCTGAACCCAGAATAAGCTGACTTCAGCAGAACACCGTTGTCTTCGGAATTCCTATTGCTTATTAGAACAAACAGGCAAAGTTTGGTGTGTTGCATTTTAAGATTGTGGAGGTAATAAAAAGGAAAAACCTTTTCTGCCTTTCAGATGGGTCAGTCAGCGAGCCCAACATGGCAGCCAACTTTTGCCCTGACCACAAGGCACCCATGGTACTGTTCTTGGACCGCGTTTATGGCATTAAAGATCAAACTTTTCTGCTCCATTTACTGGAGGTTGGGTTTTTGCCTGATTTGAGAGCCTCTGCCTCTCTAGATACAGTAAGTACCTAAGTGGAAAAAAGTTCTCTCCCCACGTTGTAAAATTAGTAGTCTGGACTTTAAAATCAAATCTTTTCTACATACTCACTGACTATATTTTAACAGTGGAAAAAGCAGTGTCACCAAGAAATGGAAGATATTTGTCATGAACAGAAATTGCCATATAAGTACAGGATATCTGACTTCCAATATTCAACCTGGCTCCTTCAATCACAGTTTTTAAGTCTTGCTAATGTTTGCAGAGAGAAGATTCCTGCTCATTGCAGAATGTTTCGCAGCATCCCTGGCCTCTACCCACTAGATATCTAGATATCTGGATATCTAATGTCCTACTCCCCCCGCCCAAACCAAAACCAATCCAGATATCACCAGATGTCCGGTGAACACTGGGCTGTGTTGCTTCTGAAAATTGATGACTGTCAGCGTTGCGGGTTCATCTCTGGGGTTCATGCACTGAGCATCAGAAAGGTCAGGTGTGAACCCAGGGGCATGACAAAGTTCAGTCCAAGAGTCCAGTGGACATTGAGGTTGAGGGAAAATACAGTAATCCAACATCAACAGGGATCAAGACAGGAGATTCCAGGAGTTAAAAAAGACATCTGCCACATATTAGGGCTGTGCAGAAAAATAGTGTGCCAAAAGTTCTGAGCCTGAGAGGTAAAGGCAAGCGAGATCTCCTTAGATCTCAAAAATGTCCTTGCAGCTCAGGATTTTGGTTAAAAAGTTTATCAGAGGGTATACCTGGTGTCCAGCCTCTGAAGTGTGAGCCCGTGGGGTTGGTCAGCAGCTGGACCTTAACTGAGATGGATTCCACCAAAAGAGTTACCCAGAAATAGAAACCAGTCTGACCCCCAGCCCTATTGGATTCTCTACTCAGAAATGGAGACCTTTCTGTGGCATGTAGGTGAGAAACAGTGCATCCACAAATTACCAGAGTATGAGGGGCACATGATCCGTCTGGATTTTTAAAACAATGCACCTACCACTGCTTTTGTTAGGAACTTTTCTACAAAAATTACTTGATCTAAAAAATAATATTTTTAATTTATGGGATGTCTCCAAGTTTCCTCTTCAGGCATTTAATTTTTTACAGATCAAATAAATAGCAAGTGCTATTTCAGCATCTGGCATTCAATCACATGCTTGTCCAAGCACCATCTGCAACAAAAAGATTTTCTATTCAGTTCCCCAGCATGCAGATATTCAGGCATTCTCATCTACAAACTTTCAGGCCACTAGAATCAAAGTTCTGCTTTCCTTGTTTTAGCAACATTGTCTATGAAAGTGATAAATGTAAAACATGAGCTATTTCTTTCAGAATGATTAACAAAGTGTCCAGAAGACAAACTTGATAATTAATAGGAGCACCCAGAAATGTGTACAGTTCAAAGAAAACAGCTTTTCAAATCACAAGTTGTAGAAAATGTGTTACAGATACAATGGCTGTGGTAATCACAGGAAATAATGATAATATTTTATCTCCGTGGTTCTCAAGATCTTTTTTGAAGTTCCACAGTTTTCAAGACGGTAGCTAATCATGCTCTGGCTATATTTAGTGTCACTAAACGGGTCTTCCCTTGAATTCAGTCTGTCCATCAAAATAAACAAAAGAGAGCATTGTGAACAAGATTTAGGGCATAGTTTTAGAAAAGGCCATTGAGTTCTATTCCTTTTAGACTTGTCCCATGTGGAGTTAGGTTTCTTTTACTGAGAAGCATCCACCCGCAAGACATTCATCAGGCAGTGAACTGCTCAAATATTTATAAATTACCAGATGAGGGCACAGCTCTACTTTCTCATTGTAAAGCTATCACCAAACCGGTGTATTTGGAAAACTACTTAACCTGTAAACACTTAATAATCTTCAGTCTCCAGAAGTTGAGAAATGAGAGCTAAAACTGGAATAATAACTGTTACAGCCCAGCAGCTGGTCTTGCAAGCATCAAGGGTGTAAGGTTAAATTGAGCGTGGCCTGAGTTTAGTAATGGTTTACAGTTTGCCTTTGTGGGAAGCATGTTTGTAGGATCATTTGGGATTCAGCCAGCTTTCACTCTTTACTTTTTTATGGTTTTTATTTTTTCCTTTACATTTTTAAAATGTTACTTAAAATGCAAAAGAAAAAAGGCCTGCCGACCAAGTGGGAAGTTGTTCATACTGTTGCTCTGAAACATAAACCAGCCTGAACCGTGTTAGGCTTCTCGAGCTCCAGCTTGGGAATTCAGACACGGGGCAGTCTGACCACTCTCTGAGAGGTTAATAAACCTCATGATTCCCTCCCCTAGGTGTCCCTCAGCACCACAGAGGCTGCACTGGCGCTCAACAGGTATATATGCTCTGCGGTGCTCCCGCTGCTTACGAGGTGCGCCCCACTGTTTGCCGGGACGGAGCACTGCACCTCCCTGATTGATTCCACGCTGCAGACCATTTACAGGCTCTCCAAGGGGCGGTCCCTCACCAAAGCACAGAGGGATACCATAGAGGAATGTCTGCTGGCCATTTGCAAGTGAGTACCCGTCTGTCTTTGAGTTCCATGCACGCATCCATGCCACGTGTAGTTAATCGTATAATCTACACTACTGATGCAGTCTGAGGACGCTGCCAGTCCTTCCACACCCATCAGTCCTCTCCAAACACCTCTTCTTCAGAGACGCGTGGTATCGTTTTGGCACAAACTCTTCCTATGGAATGGGGCGGGGTGAGATCAGGCTTTAGCAGTGAGAAATGACAGAACAGGGGAAGGGACTATGCTTCAAACGTACTCTCGATTATGAGATAATTGTTTAGTGCCCAAGATAAAGCCAGAGCACATTCATTCGTTCTCCACAAGAGAACACTCTCTATACCTTCCTCTCAATTTTTTTTCTGAGTATAAAACTGCCCAAAAAATGAGGTTTTAAAAAATTGTTTAAAAGGTCAATCTCATACATTTCAAATGTAATAGTGGTTCCTACGTGCAAGGTACTTTATTAAAAATGAACCTGTGTCTGCTGATTTTGCATCTTCTAACCCCAGAGGCTGCAGATCCCTTTCCAAAATCAGAGCCTGTACTCTGGCTGTTTTATTCATTTCAGGATTACTAGAATAACCGATAGAGAATTAAGTTAACTAGATAATTTTTGGTCTTGCAAGGGAGATAAAGCTTGTAGACACACTGACACCTCTAGGAATTACAAGGAAATATGTTTTCTCCTTGGCTAATGACCCCATTGCTTATTTATTATATGGGCCTTTCCATTTCTTCCTCACTGTGGCAGTTTACCCACAGGCAGCCCTCGCTATCCACATCAGTTCTGTACTCACTGGTAACTGCTTCAGGAACAGCTGCAGACTGTGATGTTCTACCTTCGTTAGACACAGACTCAGTGGTTTCTTAGCAGCGATACAAACCAGGGAGCCCCGCTTCCCTACGAGAGCTATTTCCCAGTCCAAAATCATGTGGATCTGACCTGTAAATATTTTCAAAGAAATCAGACTTTGAGGAAATTAGAAGTTTATGTTGAAACTTAATATATAGCCCGTAAGCCTGTATATTTCTGGCCTGGCACACACCTTCACAGCTGTTCTGTAGATACAACAGACAAACTGATGCTTACCTGGACTTTGTGTTATCTATTTTTAATAAGTCAGGAATCATTAGAGTACAGATTTTTGCACTCTGTGATTTTATTGAAATTAGTCTTAGGTGATATCTGCTAAATATCTGAACAGAAATGTGAGGCACTGAATGATTTTGTATCATAATCACTAGATTCAGGAGTCAGGCTACGTGGGACAAATTATGAGGCATCTTAACTCAACCCAGGGCTTTTTATCCCAAGGCCACTCTGGGAAAAGCTGTGAAACAGATGAGCTTTGTTTCTCATCTTCATCAATATCCATCTTCATTGTTATAGATGTAGGATTTGCTCACTAGCATCATTCCTTAATGTTGGAGTTATTACCTTGCTCCATGATGTCCTAGGCATCTGTGGAGGAAATCCAGGGCTTCAAAAGCTAAACTTACATAGAACATCGTGTGAGTGGAGGGGTGTGTGCACTTTTCTCTGGAGAGAATCTGTAGGCTCCATGAGGCTTTAAAAAGATGTGGCACCCTAAAAACACAAGCTAATGAATGTTGCTTCTCTCTCCTCCTTTATTCCAGAATTGAGCTGCACCAAATACAACAGCCATGATGTCTGTAATTTAGTCAAGTATTCTTTTATTAATTATTGTGAGAACAAAGCCATAATCCAAAGAATTAATTCTAAAAGCGGAGTTTTCTGAACCAGGTTGTACCCTGAAAAGCTTTAAGGGTCACATCAAACTCCATACCAGTAGATGGCCTCAGACTCCACCAATATGTTTGACAGCCCCAGCTCCTCTTGCAGAATTCAGGACTGTTCATCCTTAAGATGGCTGTATAATTAGCCACACCTTCTTTCTGTAGTATCCTTTGCAAATAATCACAAAATGTATTGTAAGCATGTATGGAGTTTAGAACATCTGCCGTAAATGTTGATTGGAATTTAACCTTAGGCATCCCAACTCATCAGCAGAAAGTCCTTTCTGAATTTTAACTACACTCACTTTTGAAAGTATTTTACAAACCATCATCCATGACCTTGTATCTAGGAGCTAATTATTTGGAGCAGTTAGCCCTAATATAGCGTTAGTCTTGCATTCTTCCTTCCTCTGCTCTGTATCATTTATTTATTATTTTTTCCTTTTGTTCTTTTTCTTAATGCACACGGCAGTCACTTGAGGCCTTCTATGTTACAACAACTCCTGCGACGTCTGGTTTTTGATGTACCACTACTCAACGAATACTGCAAAATGCCTCTGAAGGTAAACCTCGCTCTCCTCACAGGAACACAGTCCCTGACACAGGCAGTGTGCTCTGTCTGACGTGTCTTCACAATTTGGGGAGCAAAAATCAGACTAAATGAGCTCTACTCCTTTAAATTGACAGCTTGATGCAATCTACAAAATCAAAACCATTCTTGAAGGTTCAGTTTCAAGAGAGATGTGTTACATTCACTCAATGCTGTAATGTTTGCTCGTTGCTTTTCATTGGCTACTAATTTATTAGCAGAAGTTGGTGAGGGGGAGAAAGTGGATTTTGCACCTTTCTCACTTAATTAGGTTTTCAGAAGATTTTTTGGTCCCAGTTGGGTGTGGTGGTATATATCTGTAATCCCTGCACTGGGGAGACTGAGGCAGAAGGATCACCATGAATTTGAGGCCAGCCTGCACTACCTATGAGGGCATATAAAAAAAACTAAAAGTATCAGAAAATCTTTGAAAGCCCTGTGATTTATCATTCAAAGAGGATAAAATGTCTCATTCCTATATTGTTTTGTGTTTTTCTTTTTTGCTTTGTAAAAATCCTTTTTACATTCCATTTTTTTCTTTCTTTATTAAGGAAAAGAGCACAGGACTCTATTTTTTTATTTACTCATTCCTGGTTGCCCCATAATTCATAAATATTTTATCATAGCACCAGGAACATCTATCCAAGCAGTGGCAGAGTCAGCGGTCCACCAGATGGGCAATGTTTGTTTTTATTTTTATTTTCTTTTACTCTGAGGCTTTATCATACTCGCATACCCAAAAATGTCCTGAAAATCCTGTCTAGTGACCTTAATAGAATGTTTTCTACTCAGAAATAGTTCATGCAGAGATTTAGAAAGCATTTTGTTGGAATAACAGAACTTCCAGTAAGTCTATCATTCAATCCTGTGTCTAGCCAGGACGAAGGCGGGCTGTGTGACCATCGGCGGGTCCATAGTCCTCAGCAACCTATTTCTTCTCTCTCACCATAACAGTCCCAGGTTTTTTGTTTGTTTGTTTGTTTTGTTTTGTTTTGTCTTTTTCATTTTTATCGGTACCAGGGATAGAACTCAGGACCGCCTGCTTGCAAGGCAGGCGCTTATGCCGCTGAGCTAAACCCCCAGCCCCCAACAGTCCCAGTTTTAATCTCGAAAGGTACTTTAGCTGAGAATCACAGTTTGCATGGTTTTGTTCCTTCTATAGGCTTCTGCTGCCAGCAAGATGCTGGCTTCTAGGAGGGATCGTTGCTGCCACTCAATAAATTTGCTTTAACATCTCTCATCAATGGAAACTTTCTTAGAGAACGTGGATCCCACCAGTTGGGAACAGAGCATTACTTCAGTGTTTCTTCCCTCTACTGGCCAGATGTGAAACTGCTATAACACCAGAAGACTAGAGAGAGGCCAGGAAACCTTGAGGAATATAATCAATGTAGCGAAAATCTCCAGACCCACAGCTTGCCACCCAACATACCCTTCTCAAATCAGTCCCTCAGAACCTTCCAGAATCAAGCAAATGTCTTAGAAGAAATTCTCACAGCCAACTGGTTAAAACAACACACAATGACTACTTTCAGAGGGTAGCAGTTTCTCATTTGCAGTGGAAACAGCTCTTCTCTGTCTTCTAGCCACTACTAGAGGCCCGTTGGGAGACTTGAGAATTAATCAGGAACAGGCAGCTCAAGCTAGACCTCATTAGGCTGGAGAGCAAACCCCTCTGAGGGAGCCCCAAAAGGTCGCTTTGCAGACAACACAGCTGTTTACGATGTCGATTTCATTCTCATGATCTCCAAATCCTGTTTTATTCTGCCCTGCATGTTTTTGATGCCTGTGGATTCCTGTGTCCTACCCCACTGGTGCAATCCTGCTGCAAATCTCCCAGCTTCTGACGAATCACTATGAGCAGTGCTGGAAGTATTACTGTCTGCCTTCAGGATGGGGGAGCTATGGGTTGGCCGTGGAGGAGGAGTTGCACCTCACAGAGAAGCTCTTCTGGGGAATTTTTGACTCCCTCTCCCATAAGGTAATTACGGTGCTTCCTGAACAAAAAGGAAGAACCTCAGTGACCCCAGACCACAACAATGATTAGCATCTATGAAGCTTTGCCATATGCTAGAAACTGGGCTAAGTACTTCACACGTGTATTACATTAATCCTTACCCCAACTGTCTAAAAAGGAGCCACCATCAATCCTTACTTTACAGGTCTTAGAGTAGAATAACTTACCAGACTCGCAAAGCTAATGCAAGAGAGAGCTAGCCCCAGAGGAAATGACAGCAGTATTGCTTCCAGTCTTGGTGACTTACCTCCCTATTCTTTCCCTCAGACTTGGCATGACTCCTGTTAGCCAGTCTTCTCTCAAGTCCTGACATCTGGTCGGCTGTAGCCAAAGGGAGATGAAGGAGACTTGAAGCCAGTCTATGGAGGTGCTTCATTTAAAGAAGAGGTTGAGGGGGAACTCAGAGCCTCGACCTCCAAACCTTGCAGGACAACCTGATAGAAACAGGGCTCTGATTCTCAGACTCTGCTGTCCAATATATTTCAATTCATCAGGTCACCAGATTTAATGATAGAAAATGAGTGGATCTTCTTTTCTGAGAGAAGTCCAGAGCATCTGCATATCTTGTTCACCTGTACTTAAATTTTCTTTACTTCTGGATTCTTTTGGTTTACTATAAGCAGACCAGAAACGTTCTAAATCTGTGTTAGGTGTTAGAAATACATTCATGGCCAGGTTCAGGAGAGAATGTATGTGATGCTGAGCAGAATGCCTGTGACATCTACCTGTGACCCACGTCTGCTAGTGTGGGTCAGTTTCTATAATCACCCATGGGAGAAAAATTTATATAGACCTTTCTGTTAACCCTTACTGACCCTTAATATATACTTGGCATTAACTATTTGAGAGATGTGGGTTTAAACCTAGAGGGTTTCACAGATGGTCATCTCATCCTACAAGAATGCCTCAGTTTCCACCACAGAGTATTCAAGGGGTTGCAGATTTCCTATTTTGACCAGCCTGGACAAATGCATATACTATGTCTTCATTTCCAGCTAATCAATGAGTGAATCCAGTTTCTTTATTAAGGAAGTATATTATTTTCCCTTTCAGAGGTACGACCCAGATCTATTCCGAATGGCCTTGCCTTGCCTCAGTGCTATCGCTGGGGCCTTGCCACCAGATTATTTAGATACCAGAATCACAGGCACACTGGAGAAACAGGTCTCTGTGGATGCAGATGGAAACTTTGACCCCAAACCCATCAACACGATGAAGTGAGTCCAGAATAATCTCTAAGCGGGTCCTATGCTTTACCCAGTACCCCATGTTCTTTCTTTCAGGATATAACAAGAAATTTAAACTTCCTCTCTTTCCCTCCTGCTAACACTGTTTGTCATGTCCCTTGACTCTGTGAGGCACATCGGCCCAAGATTCAATCCCCCCATATCTGATTTTACACCGCATTAGTTAGGCATTGCGCTTTTTTTGGGGGGGGGTGGTGTTGGTGTCTTATATGAGATAGATGTACCATTAACTAAGTGTTGCCTAAGGCGTTGAAAGAATCACCCTGACTAATGATGCAATTCATTTATTAATGAGGTTTTTTTCACAGAATCTTTGCTCTTTGTGAATGAGACCTTTACAGTTCTAATAGCATACACATAAAAATCACTTCCATAACTGACATTCGGCTGAGCTCTGGCATGGCCTTGAACATGATGGCCCAAGAGTCGTAGTCCTTATTTGACAGGCTGAACCTGCTCTTTGTCATGTTGAGGGATGCCAGAACTCTGGAGTAATCCTATGATAACGCCTTTTAGTTTCTCCCTATGGTGACCCAGAATTTCTCGCTGAAGTCCATTAGACTCTGGAGGTGTGTTTACTCTGGGACGAAAAGGTGCTTAGTTTTGGTTTGTGGCAGTTCCTCCTGAGTCATGGGAGGTAACGTCTTCATCTTCAGGGGCATTTGAAAGAGCTCCACCCTGCTGCAGGTGCAGGGAGAGTAAGACTGCTCCTCTAGAAGCCCCTTGGTTGTGTTTGGCGCCAATTCTCAGATGAGACCCTGACCCCTTCCCAGCAGGGGTCAGCTTTGATAATGTGTGAAGTTTGTCCGTGAGTTAACAGTCCATTGAACAGAGCCCTACTGGGGGAATGATGAGAAACAGAATTGAAACAGCTCTAAGGGAGTAGTAAAAGGTATGACCAAATTCTACCTAAGTGAAAAAGAAGACAGGTATAGGGTTAGAGAATTTTGCCCTATAAAAATAAGTGTTTCCAAGGATGCTAAAGTAAATGACATAACACTTTGGATATTTTTATAAACATTATAAGAAACACATCATACTCTGGCAGTTGTGTGCTTACTTTGAGAGTTCTGATTCCTTGACATATATCTTTGACATAGTATAAATCTTTGAATGATGTGCGGAATAGAGACTGAGTCTGGCTGACCTAAAAAAAAATGGGGACCTTTTCCTTATTGCCAAGACATAGTCATTCTGAAAACCTAGTGAAAGGCTGACCAGACAGCTCTCACCAAAGCACAGTGAGAAAATGGGTGATCCTCGGGCATCCCTATAGATGAATCATGACCTTGAAGAATTTATTGCCCTTGTCCCTCACCCAACTTAAGGTTCAAATTCCGAGGAGAGTGAGTCTGATTTGCCTGTTCACTGGCCTGCCTTTGCTGAGTATTCACATAGCGCTGCACGTGATACCGGAAGACCATGCATTGCAGAAGGAAGTTGAGGCTGTGTCACCATTAGAAGGCATGAGTGTTGCTGGACAACCAGGAGTGATAGATGACTGCTGTGCTTCCAAAACTAGTAGTAGTGAGTCACTGAATCCTCAGTGGTAGACAAGCGCTGTTTTCTCCCCTCTAGCTATCCATGTTGGCCACTCCCCAGTTAGAGTCCTACGATGACAGTCCAGTTTCTTTGGATGAAAGAATTCTCATTTTCTAAACTGCACTGATCTGGGCATGGAACCAGTATGGTTCTTTAGGATCCAGCAAAAGCCAGAGCAGCTGGAGAAGACCACCTGTGCAGTGGAGGCTCTATGAAGACAGCCTGTGATTAGGGACAGGTGTGTGTCTGTGACATAATCCTGTGAATGCTACTCCTGCTCAGCAATGTCACTATGTCTCGGGTGGCTTCAGCTCACGGTTAGCTGGTGGATTGAATCCAACTTGTGACAGCTGATTGCTAGTTCTACTCATCTTTTACCACATCTGACCAAAACTTGGCCATGTTTGGAGAAGTTGTAATTTTTTCTCTTGTTTTGCAGTTTTTCCTTGCCTGAAAAATTGGAATACATTGTCACCAAGTATGCTGAGCATTCACATGATAAATGGGCCTGTGACAAGGTAAGGATTATCGTCCAGTTGACAATTGTCAGGGGGAAAAAATCTAGCCCAGGAACATTAAGGGGTCCAATTCTGGAAATCTGCCCAATTTGTCTAAGTGACAGACTCGCCATGCCAAGAGCATTCATTATTTCTGAGCAGCAGTTTCCCTGGGGTTGGTGGAGGTTGGAGAAATAGGCGGCTTGCAGCTGCTGGTACTGCTTTTGTATTTCTCAAGAAAACGATCAATGCTGAAAATGATAACTTGTTTTTTAACATTGTGTTTCCTTGAGTTTAGGCTCAAGTTTGCACTCAAGTGTGTTTAATATAAATGCTTAGTGAGGATGGAGAGGCTTTTTTTCCTTTAAATATAGCATTGAAAAAAAGGGAAATGAGGGCTGGGAATTTAGCTCAGCGGCGTAAGCACCTGCTTTGCAAGCAGGAGGTCATGAGTTCGATCCCCGGTACCGATAAAAAAAGATAATAAAAAGGAAATGAAATTAAAATTTGCTAAGAAGCTAATTTTTTTAACAGGAAGGACTCAGAAAGCATCTCCCTATGATAGGCACCTCTAAAATTTCCAGACACTCCCTTATTAGTAAGCATGTCCATCTGGTGTTTAAAATTCCTCACCACACAAAGTCAGGCTTCTCACTAAGTTTAATTGCTTCGTCAGCTCTCTAATGCTGGTAGGCAAAGTGGGAAGATGGCCAGAGACACCCAGGATTTCTGTGGGCAGCCAGGGAAAGATTGGGGTCCTTGTTAAGCTGCAGCTCACAGCTTGTAAGTACAGACCTGTCTCCCCAGCAAGTTCACAGAAAACCATCTTCCCACCGCATGCCCATAGCCAGCGGACACTGTGAGCCCCTAGTTCTGTCTCTGTGTGGATCTGAGTTTAGCCGTGCTCCTCTCATGAGTTCCTTGTGGGGGCCAAAGGTAACAATAATCACTGAACTATAGAATAGCTAATACCTTGTGATTCTAGAGTAGAGACTGGCAAAGCTTTTTTGTAAAAGGCCAGATAGTCTCTGTGACAACCGTTCATTTTCATTCTTGTAACACAAAAATAGCCATAGACAAAATATAAACAAAAAAGGAGGTCTATGTTCCCATAAAACTTCAGCAATGAGAAAAGAGGTAGCCAAGTTGGTAGTCAAGGGCCATAGTTTCCTGACCCTCCCTCTAGCTTCTGGGTGTTCTAAGGCTCTTTTTACCTGTGGCCCTGGCTAACCCAGTAATTAAGAAGATAGCTGTCTCTGTGTACCCCCACAGTAGCTAATCTGTCACTGAACTGTGTAGAGTTGACCTCCTGTGTCTCTCTGGAATTTGTGTGGATTTTTCCATCACCGTGCCTTGATGTCAGCGCAAGCCACCATCATCTTTTGTGCTGAGCTTTGTGATAACCTCTTGACTAGTGTCACGTGCACTGTCTCCTCTGTCCCTCAGATCACTATAAAGAGCCATAGCTTCAATATGCAAAGTTGGTCACCTTTCTACTGCTGCTCTTGTTCAGTGTATTCTCCTTATAAAATCCCTTAACAGCTTCTAACACTTCTTAACAAAAGTCAGATTCCTTAAAATGACCTTATAGGCACTGCTTAATCTGACCTCTGATATCATCTCACTCCTCACACTCTGCACTCCAGCCACATCCCCTCATCCCCTGTACCCCTCCCCAACATGTGCTTGAAACCCTCCACTGTCTGAGCAGGGGTTTATGCCACTCACTAGCTCATCTCGTCCTGCAAACACCAACCCAAGCCTTTATTCCTGAAATGGTACTTCCCCAGATTTCTCAGATATGAACCCTTTTACTCTTTTCCTTCATAGTATTTTACTACAGATGGTTAGGCATTTGTCCCAGTTGTCAGCTTTTTGACACTAAACTTTAAGCTTCACAAGAGCAAGGCTATATGTTTGCTCACCATTGCCAAGCAGGCATCATTACTGAATGAAGGAAAGACTATTTTCCTTGCCCTCAAGAGCCTCACTGTCTTATGCAAAAAACAAAGCAAACCAGCCACAGCAGGATCGGTGTTCAGTGCTGGGAAAGTCATGAATGAGCACAGGGCTAGGACACAGAGGAGCCCCTAATCCATCCCTGGGCAGCAGGGACACTTTCCGGAGCTGGTGATATCTACAGTACGTGCAAAGGAATGAGCAAAAGTTGTTGGGAAGCAAGACCACCAAAGGCTTTATGGGGTCAGCAGGGACAGACCTAGAAGGGCAAGAGAGAGTTTGGTGGCTTAAGGGAACAAAGTTCATGGAGCAAGAACACGGAATGGGGCTGAGGAAGAACAACACGGAGTCTGGAAAAACAAGACCATGTTTTTTTTAGTGGAAAGAAATAAAGGACAGCTTTATTTTTCTTGGAGAATCAACCCAAAAAATCCATAAGTCTAGAGTAGGACACAGTTCTGTGGGGCACAGAAAGCCAGTCATCTTCTTACACGGCAGCAGGAACTTTGGAAAGACCATACCATGGTATGCATGAGATGGCTGGCAGTGATTCCGTGGACATCCTGCCTGTCATGTGTTTAAGAGCTTTCCATTCCCATTTTCTCACTGATTTCAACCTTATTTTCATCTATCATAGCTTAAAATCATCTGTCAGAGCCCTTTCTTTTATGTAAAAAAAAGATTAAAAAGTTACCCAAGAGAGCTTTCAATCTTACCTCCTAGAAATGAGATTCACAATTATATAAGGACCATGTGACCCTAACATAAGCATGCCCACTGGTGAAATAGCTTTCTTCAGAAAAAACACTGTTGGATGTGTAATTGAAGTTAGTTTATTTAAAAGTAATCTTCTTAATCAAAATATGTCAGTTCCTAGGAGGCAGAAACCAGAGGGGATTAAGATCATCAAGAACTGCCAGGTTCTTTTTCAACACATTAGGAGGTTCCTGTAGGATCTCTAAGCAGAGTTGAATTAAGTCTGGAAATGAGGACAGAGCTCTGGTCTAGAAATACTGATTTGATGTTTGTCAATAACTGAACTGAAACTGTGGGCCTACATCAGGAGTTGGGTGTCTCCTGAGAAGGAAAAGGAGACAGAAACTTGGAAAATATGCTCACTTAACAAATGAGTAGCAGAGTTAGAGAAAAAAAGCAACCAGGAGTCTGTGAGCTGTGAGGTTCCAGAGATCTGGGACTCCTATCTTTGCACACACAGTGTGTAGGATCCATTGCACATGCTATAGAGTCACCCAACCAGTATCTTCTTGGTAACTTTTAAAATTCTTAAACTTCTGTGCCTCTGGGAAGCAAGCATTGCTTCAGTTCTGCTCTGGGACAAGTGGACAAGAATACAAGCCCAGCAGCCCACTGTGCATAGGGCAGTATGTGCACACCCCACATGCCGTTCTGCCCTGTCCTGTGTCTTCTCTGAGTGTGACACACTGACCCAAGGCATACTGTTTTCAGAATCTTTTGAAACATCCTTAGATTTTAAGTGGCCCTGAAACACAAGTGAGAAAACAGGAAGGACAGCACCTGAAACAAGAAGCAATAGAGAAGCAGGGGTCAGAATGCAGGGTGTAGAGGGCCTGACAGCATTAAAGAAACCATCAGACATTCTCAAGGGGAAATTTCCAAGCTCTGTCATGATCCATTACTCCACTCATGAAGTAGAAGTGGGAATTTGGGTTCTTTGAACACCAAGGATATTTGAATTGAGAACATTCCTACAGAGTCAGAATGGATGGAAATATGGAATTTCCCTGGATGAAAATGTGAAGACCCACCCACTGATAAGGCCTTTCAAGACACTAACAGAAAAGGTAAGAGGAGGCAGCCCATGGTAACGGTGATGTGGCCATGCTGGCTCCATCCTGGGGAATTGTACCAGGTGCTTGGAGGAGTTCAGGGCAGTCCCCTTCCTGTTCCTTAGAGACTTCGTAGGACTGAGGACACTGCTCCTGAGATTGCCAGCAGTCACTGCTGCAGTCTCCAGGAACACAGCCCTGTAGTCTACTCTTTGGCTCTGAGAACTCCTGGTAAAAGCAGTAGCACTATTCGGCCTTGGACCAAAACACACCTGTAATTCTCCTGGAGTTCATTCGTTTGTTGGGGCAAAATGAGGAGATGGAGCAGGGGATTACTGGGGAAAACTCAGATAAGGATGATTGCCAACACATTGGAGGTACAGAGAGTAAAAAGTCCCCATGGAAACATAAATAAGTCTGTTGCATTTTAAAAATTAAGTAGTTTGATTCTTCTCAGCTTTGCATTGCTGGCTTGCAGGCAAGGTCCTGTGTACGCTTTAGGCCTAGTATCACATGTAAGGAATATCATATATGTCTTTTCTTAAAGATTATACTTGTGCAGTTGTGTATAGATCAAAAGAAAATGTTCAATGTAAGGAATTCTATTTCCCAAGATGAAAGAAGACCTTTGTGCAGGGGTATTTTAACAATGCCTCCTTCATATAGATATTAAAACACAAGGGGTCACTGTCTTATTCTTGCTCCTCTCTACAAAATGGGGATAATGTTATCAGCAGTGGTGGGACATTCCTCTGAGAGCAAAAAGACTGCAGGCCTGGGATCTTTGTGCCGAACAGCAGACACCAATTGAGTATTGCAGGCGAGATACTGCAGCTGGCATTTTGAATTTGTGAAAGAAGGCTGGATCTAACTAGATCTAACTAGATCTAACCAGATCTAACTAGCATCCTGTCCACTGTCAGCTCCAACTTCCACAAAGAAATAGGCCATTCAGAATATGGGACGCGTTCTACAAAGCTCTCCTGTGCCAATTTTCTTCCAGGAGAAAGAAATTTATCGTTGGCCTGCCAGAGAGTCTCTGAAAACCATGCTGGCCGTGGGCTGGACTGTGGAGAGGACCAAGGAGGGAGAAGCTTTGGTTCAACAACGAGAAAATGAGAAACTTCGCAGTGTGTCCCAGACCAGCCAGGTATGACGGCTGTGCACAGAAGCCAATATGGCTGCATCACATGCACAGAGAATCCAGGAGGGCTTTCCATGGGGTGCTGTGGGGGACCAGCTACCATGAGCCTTGGGTATTTGGAGAGATACAGCTGAAATCGGGGTGCAGATAGGAATAAAAACAGAAAATGGCAAATGAAATGACTCGACTGTACTCTCCTAGGGCAACAGCTACAGCCCTGCTCCCCTGGACCTCTCGAATGTTGTACTCTCCAGGGAGCTCCAGGTCAGTGTTGGTACTTGCAGAACAACATAACTTGCTTTCTACAACCCTTTGAGTGAGGAGCATGTTACCTCACCAAGAGTTAAAGAGAAGAGGAGGGAGGGGAGAGGATGTCCGCAGCACGCAGGTCACTACCAGGATATCAAACCTGGAGAGGGCGGTACTGTGCAGAAGCCCAGGGAAAGCCTCAGCCTTACCAGACCTAACCAGTCACCCAGTAAGGGGGCTGTATGCTTCTTCTGTAGCAGGGGGTAACTGTGAAAGGAACAAAATCAGAGAAGTACTATGTTTAAACTCAGAAATAAATAAATAACTAGAAAAAAAACTGTGAAATTTGGCCCCTGGAGAGAGGTGCTCTCTTGGTCCTTGTAAGTCCCCTCAACTATAAGCTCTTGCATATCCCACAGTGGATGACATCAGTTCCCCCATAATGTGGTAGACAAGCTATCATTGCAAGACCCAGAGATTTAAAAACCAAGATAGTAAAACTGGAAGCCCTGAGATGATTTCTCCTATTCCTCCCCTCCTGCAGGCATTGATGGCTTGGCCTCTCTAGTCTGGGGCACTTACTCCTCTGGGAGGCCATCAGACCAACCCCACTGGACCTCAGAGAAACTTTCTTTCCAAAGTACACACCCGAGGTCACTGCCATATGAGCTTTAGGAAATTTGAGAAATCTTATTCGTATATGGCAGTTTCCACCAGAATGTGGTTATTTTTAGTTTGCTAAGTTAAAGGTCTTTAGGGATTCTTGATTTCCATTTGCCCTCAAGGTCCCACCGCTACCATCCCATCTCAGGTCAGGAGTATGATCCTGAACCTCTGTGATAGATGGAAAGCCCCTAGCACACAGCTTCAGCTGGAAATGTATCTCTCTCGTGAATGCATTAAACTGCCGAGATAATAAGTTACAGGGAAGGACAGAATTAGAACTTGTTTGCTGTGTGTATGGGAAGCTATAAAGCTAATGAGGTGCACAGGCACAGGCTGGTTAATGATGGGAGACCTTCGACAGTCTGTTGTTAGCATTTGGTGGTGCTCCTTTTCCCAGGGCTGCCTGAAACAGCCTGGCAGATAGGAAGCTGTTTTGCTTGCTTGCTTTCTCTTTAACTTGCATCTCCTCGGTGGGGCACAGGGAATGGTGGAGGTAGTGGCTGAGAACTACCACAATATCTGGGCCAAAAAGAAGAAGCTGGAACTCGAGAGCAAAGGTGAGCCTGGTTTACAGACTCCCTGGAGGAGGATGAGCAGAGGGGTGGGCATGGGGTGGGAATTGTCTTCTCCCAGAAGTGCAAAGAGCCGATTGTGTTGTCATCTATCACCTAATGACTCCAGGTGGTGGCAGTCACCCTCTTTTGGTACCATATGATACCTTGACTGCAAAGGAAAAATTCAGGGACCGAGAGAAGGCACAAGACCTGTTTAAATTCCTCCAAGTGAATGGCATTATAGTTTCTAGGTGAGTCATCTTTAAAATGTTGTTAGTGGGACAGGAGTGGGGGCCCAGGGTGGTCTCTCCTTTTCCAGCTGCTTAGTCACCCACTTACAAAACCCATCCCAGTCAGGATTGTAGCTGACTCTTGAAGAAAGTTATAATGAATGCATGCTTGCATTAATAAATATTGTGCTACTGGCCAGCACCTCTTTGTATATTAATCAAGCAGTTTAAATTACAAACCACATCCATAATGAATCCTCAAAGCTTTGGAATTTGGGCTTCTTTACAGGTCAGTGACAATTTGAGACACCTACAAAACAATGTAAATATGCTTTGCTAAACATTTTTCTTTTATTTCTTCTTCCTTGTCTTAGATAGCGGTCTCACTCAAATCTAGCTCAAAATCTATCTGGAAATTTTCAGTTGAAAGTGTTTTTATTTTATTAAATTATAAAACAATAACAAATATAACTGACAGAAACAGTCTTTGCACAAAAAAAATTCTCATGAAGTTACAGATCCATTGGGAAGATTGTATATATGGTAATTTCCTAAGACATTTTATTTCAAAATCTTTAAATCAAAATTATATAGATAAATGTTTCATATTAAAATAACCTTGACTCCTTGAGTCTTACAGACAGGGTGAGTTTTCTTACTGGCCAAATATTAAGGATAGGCGCTGCCGTGTCTCATACTTGCTGATTCCTTTACAGAACAAAAAACAAGCAAGTTCTTATTCTGATATGGCCATTCCTCCTGAAATGTTTGATGAAAAAGCTGCTGTTTCTGCTTCCAGGGTTTTTTTTTTTTTTTCTTCATAAAATTCTTGCCAGTGAATGTCAACAAATAAATAAATAAATAGCTATACAAATATTTCTATTGTATCTCATATAAAAAAGTATACAACTTATTTGCCATGTTGTCTAGCAGAAAAGGTCAGACAGCAGGAGACAGCCTCCAGGGAAGCATTCATGAAAGGCTCCCATGGTCAACCTAATCCTTTTCTTAACGCCAAGATGAATGTGCAGTGTGATTTGCGGATAAATACCTTGCTCACAAAGATGAAAACTTCTCCTTTCTGAAACTATAAAGAAAGTCAAGGAAGCAGGGGAATAAAGAAGGAAGATAATTGAATTCAGCAAGCTTTTCCGGAACAGTTATTTAGCATTGCCAGGTCCCATGGGAGGACCTAGATGTGCAAATGGTCGAGTGAGGTTCGTCCATCACTGAGGAGACCCGAGGAGGCCCTTCCCCACGCGCAGGTTCCCCTGGTTTAACTTCCTATCTCTTGATAACAACCCATCTTCATTTGCCAAACCTTTAAGCCAAACCCTTCACTCCTCTTCTCCCAACCTACATCCAATCCTTCAGGAAATCTTAGCAGTTCTACCTTTCAGATAGGCCTAGAACTTGACTAGTTCTCATTCCCTTCAAGCCATCACCATCGTTACTGTGGCAACCACCTATGCTCCCTGACCTTCCTGCGGCCCTGACATGGTCAGTCTTAAAACATAGCAACCAGAATGATTCTGTTATAATAAGTCCCATCATGTCACTCCTCGATTCAGTTTTTCATCTCCATCGATGAAAAAGCACATTCTGCAGAAGGCCTGCTGGGCTTGAAATGATTGGTCCCACTGTCTGCCCCACACCACTCTGACCACTTCACACTTGCACTTCGCCCATACTGGCTTTTATGCCACGGTCCTCCCACACCCCTCACATGCTTTGCAGGAACTTTGCACTACCTGCTCCCTGGGCCTGGAAAGCTCTTTCCCAGACGTCCATATGGCTCACATCCTTTAAGTCTTTATTGCAATGTCAGTTTCCCAGTGAACCAATCCTTAACATGCTCTTAACACCAGTCTGTGTACCTTCACTCATCTACTCCCCGGCCTTTTCATCCTGCTGTTGTCTTTACTTTTGTTCATGTAGCTTACTGACATCTGCCATCCACATAAGGTATATTGGGTTCATCTCTGATGATAACTAGCGTGTGACTAAGTACCAGGGAAATAGTGATTTATGTTTTCTTCTCTGATTTACCCTTAGCTCAGTGTTTGTTACAAGAATGACAAAGTTCTTCCTGAAAAATCTATCCAGCAGTGATATAGATATTGCATGCTTAGAGAGCAGTTTCCCATGCCAAGGGAAATCAGTCACATACCAAGTCATGTCATTAAGCCAAAATGACCATAAATGGGGTAGGAGGTATGATGCACCAGAGTCACGTGATTATCTCTGTTACTTCCTGGGGTCCCCCATTTCCAACTTAGAGGTATGAAGGGTATGGAGCTGGATGCCTCCTCCATGGAAAAGAGGTTTGCCTACAAATTTTTGAAGAAGATCCTGAAATATGTTGATTCTGCTCAAGAATTCATTGCTCACTTGGGTAAGTATCACTAAGAAATATTTTTAAAAGAATTTGATATTCCTTTATCAAAGAATGATCTTCATGCTAAAGCTATTTGTAATTTTTGCAGACATTATTTTGCAAGGGGTAGTGGGGACAGTGGCTGAGACTTTTTCCTCCGCTTACAAAAAGTCAGTTTAGCCTTTGACTTTCTATTGGACTTGATCAGCCATTTGTTAATACAACTTACCCTATAATTTTCCCATTGCTTCACTGTGTGACTATGGACTCAGCCTCTCTGAAGCTGCTCCTCATTGATAGAGAAGACAGTGGAACATCTGAGAGAATTAACACAGGAAATGACCAACCTGCACATCTGTAAAATATATTTCATGAAATCAGATATGGCCTGCAGAAAAGTTACTGTTTCTAAAGTGCTGTGATTTTTGTTCTGTTTTCTAACTCTGACCAACCTTGTGTTACCTGTGTCTTTGTAGAAGCCATTGTCAGCAGTGGGAAAACTGAGAAGTCTCCACATGACCAAGAGATCAAATTCTTTGCCAAAGTAAGTGATTTTCTGCATTTAACCTAATGAACGTCTTCTTAGGGTTTCTACTACTTAGAGTATGAGTTAAACTGACCCCGCAAAGACGTCTAACACTCTGATGGCTTTAGTAAGGCAGTTGTGCATTTCTCTGTTGTATGAGAGATCTCACGTGGGTCCTTCCAAGGAGACTGGCATCTTGGTTCTATTCCATCATCCAAAGACCCAGCTCCTTCCTCCTTTTCTCTCCCACCTCCAGAGGTGTAGTGCATGTCAGTGTTCTCCAGCAAGCTTACCTGTGCTCCATATAGAGGAAAAAGAGAAGAAGGGTTGGGGACCTGCAGCTTTGCTAAAACTTTACCACAGTTGCTAGAACATAGTTATTTTAGCTTCATCTACCTGAAATGGAGACTGCATAGTGCATTTATTTGTGTGGCCCTCTGCCCACCCAAAAACCCAGGCAGTTCTATTGCTAAAAGGAAAAGAGAGAGAATGGATGTGGGTACAAGTGAGTCTTTTCTTCCATACAATCTTGCTCAAAGGACTAATGCCTTAGAAGGTCTGGAGTAGCCTTGCTCTGAGAAACACAGACACTTGAATGTAGCAGTGCTAGGCTACACATGGAGTGTACTTGTCAATGCCAGACTTAAAAAGTCACATCTGCTTGCAGGTGTCCCCTCAACCTCCCCTGCAAATACTTTCTCAGATCTCAGAGGACCTTGAGACGGTAGTGCTGTCCTTTCAGATATCCCCAGGGCCTCTGGTTTAAAGCATAGTAGAAAAAAATTATAATAAAAACTGGCATTCAAAAAACAGACTTTCCTGTAAATTATAGAGCCAGTGCTGAGAGGAACTTTGCTAACTTGGAGTGAACTCTTTAGCAGGTACCATAGCAGGATTTGGGGCAGCTTCCTAAAAGTTGATATATGGTGGGTTTTTCAGGTTCTCCTCCCACTAGTTGACCAGTACTTCACCAATCACCGCCTCTACTTTCTATCATCTCCTCTGAAGCCCCTCAGTAGCAGCGGTTATGCCTCCCATAAGGAGAAAGAAATGGTGGCCAGGTGAGTCTACAACACAGAGAGAAGCTCAGTGCATTAGCTATCAGTTACTGAGATAATCAGCACAATAATCAGACCTGAGATAACCAATATGTGAGAGAACAAGTTTTTTGAGTCACAGTTCTGGAATTTCTGGTGTAAGACTCATTGCTGTGGACCTCTAGGGGAAGAGTTGGATGGCAGTGACAGGGAGCAAACTGCTTACCTCTTGGACAGGAGGCAGAGGAGAAAGAAGGGAGCACTGCAGTGCTAGCATCCCCTGCAAGGGCACGCTCCCTTGGCCCAACCGCCTCCCACTACACCCAACCTCCTAAAAGTTTCACCACCTCCCAGCCACACTCTGGAGACAAAGCCTGTAACAAAGAGACTTTTGCAGAACATGTAACCAAAATAGTGCCGTCACAGTGCTTGACAGGGTTTATTTACGACACCAGGTATCTGGGGACTGAATGGCAGCTCTCAAAAGAAATAAAGCGTAACCTGATGATTGGTCACTCAGAAGTTTGGTTATCATCTTGATTTTGAAAGAAATTGTGTTCAGACCTACCTGTATAATTTCAGCAGCTAAGAGAAGCACACTGTTGTGGGTATCAGTAGAAAGGGAAAGATTTGCATACTCAAGTCAACCTGCATTCTGAATAATATTCAGAAGATGGCAGAGATCATTCTGAAGCCTGGGAAAAGTGAATGCACAATGAGATGAAATGGGCAGACTCTGCTATCACTTCATTCTTATCAAGTTTTAAGATTAAAATTTTTCAAAATGATCGATTTTACAAGACCTAGCATAGAGGACCTGAGATTTGAAATGTACAACAACATAAATCAATTGAAGTTTCTAACAAAAGAATGTTTTCTTCAAAAATATCATCTTCAGGCCAGGGATATTGCTCAGCGGCCTAAGTGCTTACCTGGCAAGTGTAAGATCATGAGTTCAATCCCCAGTACCAAGAAAAAAAAATCATGTTCTGCATTCATTGCTCAAGGCATAATGTGTGCACACCTTCCCAGGGAAAAGAGCAGCTGGGAAACTTCATGATCAAGTTGAGAGGTGCTTCCCTTCGTGCTGGATCCGTGGAAGATATTGCTAAATAACAAAGCATTAAGACTGAAATGAAAGTCTAAAAACACTCTCCCAAGCATACAACAACCATTCAGCCTCACCATTTTGGGAGAGATATGCAAATTTAATATTTGGCTAACATTTACTAAACAGTATGCCTAGGCACTGAGCTTAATTTTCAAATGCAAGAGATACTACCCATGTGTGAAACCTCACATTTTACCTTCAAACTACGACTTGCATGTTCTAATTTTCATTTTGCAAATGATGAAACTGGTTCAATCAGGTTCATTCCAGTGTTGAAAGTAATAAAGCTAAGTGAGGACAAGAATAAAAACATTGTCCTCTCTGTCCGTGTGACGTGCTATTTATTCCTTACCATAGTTACTTATTCTCACTTAAGGTAAGAGAAACCCTATATTATCAAGTTATAATACCCTTAGAATCGTGTACTGACCAGCAATCTAACATTTTTAGATGCCAGTGTGTGTTCTGTAAGAAGGTAGGGAAAGGAGGGCAAGGTGATTTGATCAGATAATCCAGCCCAGGGCAGGGGTCTTTGTTCCCTTCGTCTATTTCTCTTAGACTGTTAATTCATGGAAATGTAACATTTGTTCAACTGCGCATCATTTGTCATGGCTGGAATACAACCTGAAGCTCATCAGCCTTGCAAATAGCAACGAGATTCATCAGTGTGCTTGCTATCCTCCCAGGCAGAGCTGTTTGCACGGGATGTGTTTGCATTGGCAGGCTCTTCTCACCTGTTTTATGCTTGCCACACCTCTTTTGCCTCTGATGCCATTCAGCTTGGGATCCCAGTCTGTCTCTCTTAGAATTCTGTTATTTATTCATCTTGGAAACCTACAGGTGCCAGGGAATCTTGACTCCTTGTAGCTATGGCCACACGCAGGCTTCTACTTAACTCAGATGTGCCACAGGGGACAAGCAGGAGCCTCAGGAAACTGTAGCTCCTGGCCTTGGCATACCTGAGAAAGCTCTTCTGACAGTGAGAAGAACCGTGTCAGCACTGGAATCAAATAACCAAATCATCTGCTTCAGTTAGAAAAGCTTCTGTAAAACTTTACACAGAGTACATGTCCATCCACTCTGAATCAGAACTGAGTTTATTCAGAAAACCAGGAGAGGCATTTATTATAGATAAGAAAGTTGATACAGCTTTAGTCAGCACATGAGCACTATATCAAGGCTGGAAAGCAAAGGGCTTTCCTTGAGAAAGCCCGGTTATTCAAGGCAGAACACAGAACCCAGAGCATCAACAACACAGGTCATAGTCTTGAGTGCTCTTTGTTCTCCCTCCTCCAGCTTCATGAATATACATCAAATAAAGAGCAGCACATATTTAATTCCATGACAGCTGGTTGCTAAATTTTTGTTAAGTTGTTATGAGTCCTCTTGATGCCCTAGGCCAGGGGTTCCCACTTATTTCCACTGCAAAAAAAAATAATAATAATAATAATTAACCACGGGAGACTTTGACTGTAATTTTTCAGTAGACAGCCCAGAAAAACCCAAAGCACCATGAAAAGGTAAACAAATTTCATCCCTATCAACACTTGGGGTTTGCCTCCATTTGAGTGTCCTGTAGAAGACTTCTGACCTGTTTGAGGCAAGGGGTCTTATGCCAGTTGTGATGAAGAGACTGGCTTCAACTTCAGCTCAGTCTCCTGGTGGAACCCGATGGCTGTACAGGTGGTTTTTGTTCTTGTTTTCCCTGCCTTCTCACTTTCCATTCCACTGCTTCCTGAAAGGTTTGTGAAGTTCTTGTCTGCCCGTACACTGAGCCCATACACTGCCCTCTGAGAGCACTGGCAGCACAGATGACATAATGGCCACAGTGCCCCAGATGGGGTCCCTCAGCAGCGTGTACAGAAACATTTACAGGATTCATTCCCAACTGCACAAGGCCTTCTCTCAGGCACTGTGGAAAGTCAAGCAATAAGCTAGTGTGCCGCCTTCAAGTGGTTTTATGGTGAGAAATAAGAGTAAAATCATAGAGAAGGATCACAAACCCAAAAGCATCTTAGGGTCCCAAGTTTCCAAGGAACAAATCGGAAAGCAACCCAATCAGGCCCATAGACTAATAAGAGATAATAGTGAAAATACATTTCTTAAAAAAAAATTTTGTTTAACACAATTGCACTGCCTACCCTAACCATTAACATTTTTCCAGTCTCAATATGCTGCTCATATCCTAACTGAAGATAGCTGGTTGCAAAATGGTTTGCAGTCCATTGCAACTTGGAAAAGTCATGCTTTCTTTCAGAATCCTCATTTATTCTTGAATGTCAAGCAAATAAATATTTAAACATGTGGTGTCTATAGTAGAGGATAGTTTTCTCAGGCTCACTGAAAAATGCTGTAACCACTGCAGAGGGGTTGTTTTCAGTGAGCTCAGAGCTGCCTACGAGTTACCGTTGGTGACACTCCAGTAACTGTCTGAACCACATATTCTCCTGAGCATGGTCCAAAGGACTCTTCAAGGAGAACACAGTGCATCGTCCTGGGGTGCCAATCTGTGCTCCGTGACTTACAGTGTGGAGATTGGGAGGAGGGCTAGAGTTAGTCTTTGACTCTCTGAGACTTGCTGAATTGTGTTATTTTCTGCTTCAGCCTGTTCTGCAAACTTGCTGCTCTTGTTAGACACAGGATTTCCCTCTTCGGTAAGTGAGAAATGTTGCTAAAGGCTGCACTCCTTCCTAGAGTGATCCTGAACCTGTATTTTGCCATATTTGTGCCCCCTTCAAAGGACTTGAGCCTTGAGACTAAGGTGTCACCTAAATTCACCATAGAAAATTGGTCTGAAGCATGATAAATGACCTCTCTACCCTGCTAACAGCTTAAATTTTCCACACCAATGAATGTTTTAAGCTTTGCCTCTGACATCCATCATGAGGTAGGGGCTGTGTCAGGCTGGAGATAAATGCCTCTGAACACAGGCCTGGCACTGTGTGTGGTAATTAATTACGCTGGGCTATGGCTTATGCATACTGAGAAGACCTTGCTCGGGAGACAGGCTGAGTGGCTTGGGGAGTCACAGGTGATATTTTTTATTCTAGGGAGTGATTCTGCTACAATGGTGAGCTGTCTTCACATCTTAGCTCAGACCCTTGACACAAGGTAAGTCTGCCAGTTCACTTGTATAGCTTCTCCAGACGCCCTCTCTGACCCCCTCCTTGGGGCAAAGATGAATTGACCCTAGGAGTTAGCACTGTATCTTTCTCATCCCCATGATGTAGAACAGCAATTGAGGCAAATACTGAATACTAAGGGTTAAGCATGTAACCCACTCTTACCTTCCCTGAGAGAGAGGAGCAGTTATCACTCTGGATTCAGTATGCCCAGGAAGGTGATACAGGGAGAGCTGGTGTCAAAAGGTCAGGGGCACGGGGAAGGTGAACAGGGAAGGAAGTCTTATAATCAGATGCAAATTCTGATAACAGTAGCACAAATGATAAGATTTTAAAGGAAGTGGTGAAAAGAATTTATAGGCAGCTTTCTTTTACACATAGAAATATACAGTATATAAATTATGTGTCACTAATTCCTATGAATTTAACAAAATGTGTGGTTTCAGTGTATTTTTATGCATGCACATACTTCGATCTTAGCCACCCCCACTGTCCTCCTCTCCTCCCTCCCCTTGACTTTCTTCCTCTTGTCTAGTAACTGTCTCCCTTTCACTTCATGCATCACTTGCATCATTTTAGAGTCCATCATGCCATGTTAGAGAGCCATCGTGTTTAGGGAAAACATGAGACGCTTGATTTATTTCACTTAGCATCATGATCTCTGGCTCCATCCATTTGCCTGCAAATGACATGATTTGTTCTTTTTACGGCTGAGTGATACTCTATTGTATATGTGCACAGTTTTTTTTTGTTTGTTTGTTTTTATCCCTTCTCCTGGCCACAGGGCTAGTTTTCCATATCTTAGCTATGGTGAATAGTGCTGCATTAAACATAGCTATTCAGATATCCCTATTATGTGCTGATTTTGATTCCTTTGAATGTGTATCAAAGAGTGCTATAACTGGGTCACATGGTAAATCTGTTCTTAGTTTTTTGAGAAACTTCCATATGTATTGACAGACACCTCTAACACTCTCATTAAGAAATGTTCTTTTCAAAACATCTCTCCCAAAATATTGGGAGATGAGCTCTGATCCCCAATACATAAAAGAGCCACCAACCTAAGACAGGATATTTTCTGAAAGGGTATAAGGTTAATCAACGGGCTCGTTATGGTTTTTGAGAAATACAAACATGCTGTGTTGACATAAAGATAGACCGAGTCAGTGATGGTGAACCTTTCAGAGACTGAGTGCCCAAACTGCAACCCAAAACTCACTTACTTATTGCAAAGTGCGAACACTGCAATTAAAGGTGAGTATCTGATGCTTGGTTTCTGGGGCAACTTGGCATGTATGCCAGCAAAGAGAGATCAGCATACCTGCTTCAGCGTGCGTGCCACAGGCTCACCACCACAGGACTGAGTCATCCCAAGCAACCAAAGACCCTTACAATTGGGATGAGGACTTTATTACTCCAGGAAACATGCAGAAAGGCTTAGAAGGGGCCCAAGTTATTTTTTCTAAAAGTAGTCTTTAAATATAATTCCTGCTAAAACCTCTGACCACAAAGTTAGGAAGAGAGCCCCTAGTGCTTACAAAACAGGAGCAAGCTTCACCGGCTGTTTCCCTTGCTTTTGTTGTCCTAACTAGTTGGAAGATTACCAAGGATAGATAAAAAGTATCCGACCTTCTGAGTAAGATGCAGAAACATGGAAAACTGTAGATCACTTGTAGATTTTTGTTCCAATCCTAAATTTTTCAAAATAAGTTTTGAAGGATGGATTCAGATACTCATACCTAATCTCCATTCTCACAGGGCACCTTTCAGCATCCTTCCCCGTCCCCCAGCCTAATTAAGCTATTTTTTAAAGTTGTTTGTTTTAAAACAACTATTTATCTCTTTTGTTTCTCCTCATCCAATCTAGGACCACTCCACACATGGAAAAGCAGTCTAAGCTGCAGTCAGTTTATTCCCTTACTCTCTCCTCTCTCTCAGGTTTTGAATTAGAAGTGATCATGTTTCCATTTGTGTTTATCATAATTGCTGCAAGAAAAGCTTTCTCTTACCCCTTTCTCTTAGGTATTCACAGACACCAGCTGTGACCTTGTATAGCTAGCAGGTGGTAGCATTGTTCTCTCCATGTTTTGATGAGTTGAGCAAGGAATCATCCCTCAGATAAGTGCACCGTCCAGTTGCCAAGCTCCTGGGGCTGTGTGGTCCAGGTCTCTCTCTAAGTGACCACATTCTCTCCATTCTTCCTGACTTAATGTTGTCGGGGACTGAGTATTAAAGCCTACCCCAGTTGCACTGCACATCACCAGCAGTGCAGATTATGCTTCTGCTTCTGAGCACTGTTTGTTTGCAGGACAGTCATGAAGTCAGGCTCAGAGCTGGTGAAGGCTGGGTTGCGAGGATTCTTTGAAAATGCTGCAGAAGACTTAGAGAAGACTTCGGAAAACCTGAAGCTTGGGAAGTTTACCCACTCCAGAACACAGATCAGAGGGGTTTCCCAGAATATCAATTATACCACAGTGGCTCTGCTCCCCATCCTGACATCCATCTTTGAACATGTGGCTCAGCATCAGTTTGGGGTGGATCTGCTCCGTGAGTCCTTCTGCTGTTTGTCCTACACTGCTGTTTGTGTCACAGACAGGAAGTATGGGACCTATTCACTTCTGTTGCTCTGGAGGTCAAAGTAGGGACATGATTATTTGTATAATATTTGATCTATTTCCACTTCTATTCCCAACCAGAACTTCCCATCCACTAGCATATCTCTCAGCTCCTACACATTCTCTTCATGTTGATAAGGTTATCTGGGCAAGACAACATGAGATGTACATTTGCTCCCTGGGTTTTTCAGACACCAATTTTCCTGTTAAGAAGCCTTAATTTATTCACTAGTACCAGGAGCGAAGGAAAATGCTAGAATTTCTTTATCTGCGGCTTCAAAGGAAGACTAAAGACAATTGGTTTTACTCTAGTTTGCCTTTAGCCCCACATGCAGCCCCAGCCCCTCCTGCCACACAGATGTTCTATCACCAAGCTTCAGTTTTGCACTTCAAATGTTGGTATGTGATTTAATTTGCCAGTTGGCAATTGCTAAGGCTATGTTACTGACATCCCTGAACAGCTGAAAAGCAGTTACACTTGCTGGTATAAGTTTTCTGACATGGAAACAATTCCTTGATTGAAAATTAAAACATTAATTTGGCTTTATTGTGTTAAAACAGTCCTCACCTTGGTATGAGCTTTAAATGGTTAGGGACCTACAGCCTGCAGATTAATTGCTTACAAGTTCCTAAGCAGAATGTGTGCTTCCCTCGGGAGCATGATAAAATCATGGTACAGTTGAACTGCCTTTTGCAGAACACCCAGGCGAATTTGAGGAATGTTGTTCTACCTCTGAAGAACGTACGGTTGTTGTACATATTTCTCTAGGAAATCAGCAGAAGGCTCATGGGAACTTCAGGTTTTCTGTGTTCTTCCTTCCAAAGGAAGAAAATACTGCACTTGATAAAATTTGACTACAATGTGTCCCTCGAAGAGAAAACCCTATCAAGAAAGACTTCTTTGGTCAAATGATGCCTTGCCCAGTGAAGCACTGTGGTCCACATTAAAAACCTGATACTGCCACTGAAATGGCTGGATGATGGGTGTTTTGCTATCAGTATTTTCCCTTGTATGTAGTTCAGCAGCTACCATAGCAAACTAGGACCTGGGAAAAAGGGGCTACAAAGAAGAGGGAGGAGAAAAAGGCAAGAGGGGAGTAGAAAGGAGAGCGAGGTCAGGGGAAGATTCTGCTCTTGGCTGGTGCCTGTATGTTTTTCCTCTTCACAGACCTTTCTGTGTGCAAAAGGAACCTGGACTGGTGTGTGGTAACAGCGTCTCTTCTTCGTTTCAGTGGGTGACGTGCAGATCTCCTGCTACCACATACTGTGCAGCCTTTACTCCCTTGGGACAGGAAAAAACATCTATGTTGAGAGGTAATTAGTGAATAAAAAGTTAACACAGGCTGAGAAAAGGTTACCTACTTTAAAAAAAAAAAAAAAACCACTAACATCTTTTCAGTTCTGCAAAACCAAAACGATAGCTGATCTGGAGCACTGCTTGTGAGGCAGGTTATAAAACGTTCATGGCAATATGAAGAAGCGGAAAGAAGCTTTTCAGACTGGTGGCTTTTGTGAACAGAGCTGGTAAATGCATATAGCCAAGTTAGTTCATATGCTGGTAACCAAAAAAATGTTGAAGATTTGCCAATCTCTTCATAATCACAGCTTCCAAATTGCTTCCAGATGCCGTGGTTAGAGCTTGCTGAGGTACCCAAGGGACAGGAGGCAGTCGCTTTCATGTCTGATGACTTTCAGTGTGATACACCCTGGTCCTTTGCCGCTCGTGGCTGTCAGATTAGCTATGGTTTAAATGAGTGCACGAATACTATGCAATAATCTCAAGTCTGAAAAGCTTATTTTCAGAGGTTTTAGGGTTTCAGTTTTGGCTCTCTAATCTGCCTCTTGCAGTGGAGACCTTGATGACCCCTCATTTTCAGCATCAAGTGCCCTGTGTTGTGGTGTTCTATTTAAATCCAGGGAGAGATTAGAAGGATAAAAACAGTGCTAGCCAAGCTCTAGACTTAGTGTTATCATTGGAAGGTTTTATTTTCTTCATTTGCCCTTTCAAACAAGCATGTTTGAAGAAATTCAACCTGTAGTTTAAATTACTCGACCTCAGCATCCCTTGGTACCTACTTGTCATGCATTACTGTCAGTGGGCTAGAGCTGAGGAGGTCCCTGAGTCTGAACTATGGAATTTAGCCCACCCTCTTGTAGAATAAGTTTGTAGGTTCGCCAATTCCCATCACACACACACACACAAAAGAATGTTTTCAGGATGCCAGTAAGAGACATGAGAAGAGTTTAATAGGCAGAAATTTTAGCATGCACTCAAGGGTAGAGTATGGATGCTCAGAGAAATGAGATTCATTATTTCCTGGGACAGGGAACAATTATGCTGCTCTTGAAGGGGTCAAAACCCTAAGATAAGGGAGCTCACCCCTAGAAGGCTACCAGTGCATTCTGCAGGCATGGGCATTTGTGGCTTTTGGTTGATTGGTTGGTTGGTTGGTCTTGAATAGCTAATTTAAAGAATCTTTGGATTTCTGAACCTGCTTCTTTATCTCAGCATCAAGTTCTTGCTCTTTACTTTCTCAATTGAGTCAATTTATGGACTTCTGTTGTTCTTGAGTAATTTTAGTGTGATGAGTCGGGTAGGAGAGGACCCTAACTTCAACCAAAGCAAAATTGATAAATGGACCTTGCGTAACTTTGAGTGAGGCCCAGAGTTCGTAGTCTTCTTTAAAGAACTATTTTTGGTTATGATTTCCTTGTCTACTTTCTATCTATCTTTTTATTTCTTCTATCTCACTAACTCTATTTATGATGCTTTCATCAAGCAAATGGTAAAGGGCCATTTGATGACAAAACTTACAGAAATTCAAATTGCAATTTTTTAGCAAACTGAAAAAAAAAAGACTTGCATTTCTTTCCTCTAAGAACTAAACCAGTTGAATTAAAATCCTGTGGTAAAAATTGTTGAAGAAATGTCTTTGGTTCATAATAATCACAATTGTAACTAGCTTCCAAAGTTCAAGAAATTAGTTGAAAAAAGTAACTATATTTTGATTACTGTTTTAAGTCCTTGCAATTGCTTAGTTTTCCCTAGTTTTATACAGAATATGAATAATTTTGTCATAGGCAGACAAAAGTTTTAAACATATTTTGTACCAATTTAACAGGCAAATTCCTTTTTTTCAATTAATACAAAATTTCACTGAGGGAAGGTTTTTTGAGTTCATGTCTTCCATTGATTATTTGTAAACATTTTTCAGTATGTTTTTTATTCTCTCAGAGTATTCTGGGTGTGTATTCACCCATAAGTGTGTGTATTCTCTATACAATTTTATCTAAATCTTAGACATCCTTCTCTTAGAAAAAAAAGTCAAGATCATCTCTGAAATGTCAGAGCACAAAAAGACTGCTCCTCATATAACCTTGCATATTTTATTTATGTGTTCACTGAAAGTTTATTGTGTGTGTCCTGCACTATAAATATTAGTGTTTATGTTTTCTCCTTTACTGGCAGAAGTTAATGCTTGGAGAAGCCCTCGGTCCAGGCTGCCCCCAATGTTTTTGTCAGTGGACTAAACAACTAAAGAATTGGAGAACTAAAGCCCTAAACTTGTGTTTCTACCACTGTTAATGGTTTTCATTTCTTTTTTTAATTCTGAGAAACAAGTTTAGTCAAAACAAACAAAAAATGAAATAAAGCTATACAGAAATACATAGTTAAAACTAGCATTTTCCTCATCCCAGATCACCCCCTACCTGTATCCAGTTCCCAAAAGAAGCCACCAGCAGCAGTTTGATGTATACCTGTTTAGGTGTTTGCTACGTATGTGTATTTTTACACATGTGAGCTTATATCCAGACAGTTTTGCAACTTTGTCCTATTAGATAAAGCCAAAAACTGAATTTATTGTAACATCATAGTTTTAAAAATTAACATTTAAATCCAATATGCTTTAATTCCATACTTAAAATGATGAATTATTTCGTTATACTGGTAAACCTAGCCACCTCCTGTCCTTGCATTTTTTTATAAAATTCATTATAACACTTACATTCTATTCTAGAACCAGTGTTCCCTGAGGCATTGATTTTAATTTATATTTAAATGGTTCCACACATCACCCATACTTTTGAACCAAAACTTTCCTGATCCTATTTATTTTCTTTTATCATTTGGCTGGAGTCATCATTCAGTAGTTATTTCTACAGAAGCTCTTAGATACTTTTAAATCCTGGGATATTTCGGAATATCATCCTTTGACTTTTATGTATGTATAATATCCATGGTATAAAATCCTTGACTTACCATTTTCTCTCCCCCAATGTATCTTTGTAGTTTGACAAGGTGCACTCTCTGGACCACAGGATTTATTACACTACACATGACTTTGCAGTGGGAGGAGAGGAACTGCTTTAGTCTCGAAGCTTGTTGACTATACTATGATATATCCCGGGGCTGATTATTCTGTACCAGCCACCTCTGCTTCTGTTCAGAACTTCTTATGTCCTGCTGCTACTCAGAGTTCAATCTTCCTTTATTCAGAAAATTTTCATTTTATTATACAGTTTGTGTTAGTCTGCTTTTTGTTGCAGTAATAAAATATCTGAGACAATTAGCCTAAAACTAGGAAAGGTTTGTTTTGGCTCAGTTTTGTAGGTTTCAGTCTGTGGGCGCACTTGGCCTGACTGCATTAGAATCTGTGGTGAGGTAGGACATCATGGTGGGAAGAATGAGGTGGAGGAAGGGGCTTACCTCGTACTGACTGGGAAATGGAGAGGGAGAGGGAGAAGAAGAGACCTATTTCCCCAAATCCCCACGCAACAGCACACACCCAATAACCTAAAAGCTCCCCGCCTCTTAAAGATCCCACGAATTCCCAATAGCTGGGTACCACACCTTTAACATACAGACCTTTGCAAGATGTTTCAAATCCAAACTTTACCACAGCTGTGGGGTTTTTGGGAGGAGGGGAGAAGTTTTTTCTTCTCTCTTGTTCAGAAAAGCAATTATGTGTCAGTCTTTTCCTTAATCCCCTAAATCTCTTAGTCACTCTGTAGTAACTTTTGGCTAGTTGTTCTTTTCTGTCTTGCATTTGAATGATTTTTTTTCTCAAACTTCTCATATTACTGATTCTCTTTGCTTATTTTCTAGATGCATATAGAAAACATTTTGTTATGCACTTTTCCTGGATAATTATTTTTCTAACCTGTGCTTTTCATCTATTTTGTGGTTGTTAGTTCCACTGATAATACTCGAGGATGGAGATATGAGACAGACAGACAGTCTGAATGAATAAGTGAAGGCAGTTGAACTGGAAAGAAAGAACAGCTTCCAATCTGAGAATCTGACTCAGAACTGACTCTTTTCTCACTTCCTCAGCGGTATCTGTAGCCTTAGCAATGCATCTATGCTCGGTGTTTCATGTTCTCTCCCAACAGAAGTAAACAGCTGTCCTGCAAGACAGGTGGGTGTAACTCTTGGTACAACTCACAGTGGTAGGAGTTTTGCTTAGTGGTTTAATGTATGTTTATCCTCTGCTTAGAGAACATAGGTCGATAGCTATAACACAAGTTATTTCTTACTCTTCCACGCTGGTACATATCCTGTGGTTTCTCCAGGGTAGAAATCTACATCACAGGAGTGACAAATGGTATGTCTTCCCTTCTCTACCCAATCTGCCACTCTGTAGCATAGAAGCTAGCCCTATGCACATGTTGTCTGCTAGGACTCATGGCCTGCTCGTACCCTGAGTCCTCATCCTCACTGTTATGTTTTGTTCTCTCTCTCAATCTCTCTCTCTCTCTCTCTCTCTCTCTCTCTCTCTCTCTCTCTCTCTCTCTCACCATCTTGCTATGCCATCAAGGCTGGCCTTGAACTCGCTATGTCTTCCTGCCTCAACCTCTCAAGTGCTGAATTACAGGTGTGTGCCACTATGCTCAGCTTGTTTTGTCTTTTAGAGACAGGCTTCCAGCATGCAGTTCAGGCTAGCTTTGAGCCTACGTTGTAGCCCACGCTGGCCTCAGACTCCTCAGTGCTGGAATCACAGGTGTGCACCATGACACCCAGCCTCTTATGCTCATTGTTTCAAGCAAATACTTACCTTTTAGCCCCTCAAATCTCCCTTATGACCTCCAGAGACCCTTTCACATTCTTCTAAGCCTACACAGTAGGCTCCACTTCTGTATCCATGCTTGATTCAGTCCATGTAAGCATGGCTCCACTTCTGTATCCATGCTTGATTCAGTCCATATGATCACACATAATCCGGTTGAAGTAAAGATGGAGATTTCTTCACCCTCTTTTCTTGTGAGGTTGAGGGAAGAAAGTACAATTTCCCTACCACCTTTTACTGAACCTT